TATTATTTACCCGTATTTTAAATATACATGTTAAAAAAATTCTAAATTTGATTAGATAGTGACTCGTATGAAAAAGCCGAGGGACACACTTAAATTTTAATCAAACTCCGCGTTTAACTAATTAAACTAATCCAACCGGTAAGAAACCGTGGCGAAGCCGCGCACGGGGGTTAGCACAAAACCAACCAATTAATTAACTTCAAAGAACAAATCAAGGCACGTGTTAGTGTTCTGTCTGCCTTACTTTTGGCTTTTCTTTTGCAAGCGACGTGTCTCAACTTTTAGTTTTCTTATACGATAAAGTGGGAACGTCAAATGGGTGTCGCTCTATATTATTAATGTTGCGTTTTGGACTCCGTCACCGCGGAAACCAATGTCGCGCCTCCACGGTGTGCCGTGTATGCCCGCGTGCATTCCGCGGCAGAGCCGGAAACAAAATTTAGGGGGCATAAAATGAAACATACTCTTTTTCTTTCATAGTTTGAACAAGAAAGTAAAGGTTGTTGACTTAGGAGAAAAATTTTTAATATCAAGTGTTCGATGATTTAAATAATTTAGTAAGATATTTTAAATTTTAATCATATAATACTTGATTTTGTAGGTCGATGATTTAAATAATTTAGTAAGAGATTCTAAAGTAAAGGCACTCTGTCTTTCGATCAATTGACGGAATTAGCCTTGGGCCTGGAGATGAGTGGGCAAAAGTTCATATGGGTCGTGAGAAGCCCAGATAATGAGTCTGCTGCGGGCTCATATTTCAGTGCGGATAGTAATACGGACCCATTGGGCTTTTTACCAGAAGGGTACTTGGACCGGACCAAAGAACAAGGCCTGCTAGTTCCATCCTGGGCTCCACAGATGCAGATTCTGGCCCACAAATCCACCGCTGGGTTCCTGACCCATTGTGGATGGAATTCGGCTCTCGAGAGCATCATCAATGGCGTACCCATGATTGCATGGCCACTGTACGCAGAACAGAGTACAAATGCAGTATTATTAACAGAGGCCCTGAAAGTAGCACTGAGGCCCAAGCCAAACCAGAATGGGCTTGTGGGCCGAGAAGAAATTGCGAAGACTGTCAAGAGTCTAATGCAGGAGGAAGAGGGGATGAAGATTCGAGAAAGGATGAATGTCATGAAGGAAGCTGCAGCCAACGCAGTTAGAGAAGGTGGGTCGTCTACAAAGACCCTCTCTCAGCTGGTGCTCAAATGGAAGAATAGAAAATTAAATTAAAAATAAAATCCAACTTATATTATATATAAAAGAGTTTGTTTTATATTTTA